TAACGAGGGTATAATAGCCCAGCTGAGAGTGCTAATCAGTCTATAAGAAGCCGTGTTGATTGACTTTCGAGTATACCACAAAGTGAACAGCAATGGAGAATAAAAGAAAGAGGAAACCCAACTGGACGCTGGAACAATGTTTGCTTCTGGCTCATTTGGTCAATGAGCATAAAAGTGTTTTGAGAGGTAACTTTAGCCCCACTGTCACCCAGTGTTTGTAGAATATCTCTCCTGTCTCTTCCGTCCACCATTTTTTCCTCTTAGGGAACTCTTAAGTCGCTAATAGTCCTCCTCTCTACTCTTAAGAGATCTCACCTTGACAAGGTGAGATCTTGATCTCCTAAGAGAGTAGGAGCTAGGATTCCTTAGGAATAGCTTTTTCCTTAACTGGGATCTACTCTTCACTTTTACGTCAAGATTCTAAGAATATTCTTAGAATTTGGCAGGATTAAGGCCCCTTTAAGATTTTCTTAATGTTGAAAAATGGGAACAGTTATTTCCCCTTTCAACAGGCGGCTGCATCCACGTACGGCTCATTTTTATGCAATAACATACAACATGTGCGGGGGGTGAGCTGCTGACCTCGACCGGGGATATTGTCGGACGGTGGAAGGAATACTTCGAGGTTCTCCTCAATCCCCCCGTCACGTCCTCCGCTCCGGAGGCAGAGGCTGAGGATGTTGGGGCGGATACTTCTGTCACCCTGGCAGAGGTCACCAAGGTGGTTGGCAGCCTCCTTGGTGGCAAGGCGCCGGGAGTGGATGAGATCCGCCCCGACTATCTAAAGTCTCTGGATGTTGTGGGACTGTCTTGGCTGACACGTCTCTGCAACATCGCGTGGCGATCGGGGGCGGTGCCAATGGAGTGGCAGACCGGGGTGGTGGTCCCTCTCTACAAGAAGGGGGACCGGAGGGTGTGTTCCAATTATCGTGGGATCACACTCCTCAGCCTCCCTGGTAAGGTTTACTCCAAGGTACTGGAGAGGAGGTTACGGCCGATGGTCGAATCTCGGATTCAGGAGGAGCAGTGTGGTTTTCGTCCCGGCCGCGGAACACTGGACCAGCTCTATACTCTCCATCGGATACTCGAGGGTTCATGGGAGTTCGCCCAACCTGTCCACATGTGCTTTGTGGATTTGGAGAAGGCGTTCGACCGTGTTCCCCGGGGTGTCCTTTGGGGGGGTCCTCCGTGAGTACGGGGTCTGGGGTCCTCTGCTGAGGGCCGTCCGGTCCCTGTATGACCGGAGCCAGAGCTGCGTGCGCATTGCCGGCAGTAAGTCAGACCTGTTCCCGGTGAATGTTGGCCTCCGCCAGGGCTGCCCTTTGTCACCGGTTCTGTTCACTGTATTCATGGACAGAATTTCTAGGCGCAGCCAAGGGTCGGAGGGGGTCTGGTTCGGGGACCACAGGATTTCATCTCTGCTGTTTGCAGACGATGTCGTCCTGTTGGCTCCAACAAACCAGGACCTACAACATGCACTGGGACGGTTTGCAGCCGAGTGTGAAGCGGCTGGGATGAGAATCAGCACCTCCAAATCTGAGGCCATGGTGCTCGACCGGAAAAAGGTGCCTTGCCCTTTCCGGGTGGGAGAGGGCAAGGCACTTGAGGAGTTCAAGTATCTCGGGGTCTTGTTCACGGTGAGTGTGAGGGAAGGATGGAGCGTGAGATTGACAGGCAGATCGGTGCAGCGTGCGCAGTGATGCGGTCTCTGTATCGGACCGTTGTGGTAAAGAGGGAGCTGAGCCAAAAGGCAAAGCTCTCAATTTACCGGTCAATCTTCGTTCCCTCCCTCACCTATGCTCATGAGCTGTGGGTAATGACCGAAAGAACAAGATCGCGGATACAAGCGGTCGAAATGAGCTTCCTCCGCAGAGTGGCTGGGCGCTCCCTTAGCGATAGGGTGAGGAGCTCAGTCACACGGGAGGAGCTCGGAGTAGAGCCGCTGCTACTCCACGTCGAGAGGAACCAGTTGAGGTGGCTCGGGCATCTGTTCCGGATGCCTCCTGGACGCCTCCCTGGGGAGGTGTTCCGGGCACGTCCCACCGGGAGGAGGCCCCGGGGAAGACCCAGGAGGGACTATGTCTCTCAGCTGGCCTGGGAACGCCTTGGAGCCCCCCCGGACGAGCTGGAGGAGGTGTGTGTGGATAGGGAAGTCTGGGCGTCTCTGCTTAGACTGCTGCCCCCGCGACCCGGCAACGGATGAAGCGGAAGAAAATGGATGGATGGATGGAACATACAACATTCTAATTTCTCATTCTCATTTGTAACTAAAATTCCACATTTCTCAAACCATTTTTTTCCCCCAGAACCTGGAAAGTCAAAGTCTGTTAATCAGAAATTGTCTCAGTTTGTATTTTCTCTGGAAAGATTTTCTTAACATCGAGTTTTCAGTGTGAAATGAAAATCAGTGTGAATAAAAACACATTTGCATTCTAAACAACTGATCTGTATAATCAAATTTACTAGTCCCAAATGTAGCAAATTTGTGTGCAAACGCAAGTAATTTAAGGCCTTGAAAAACGGCTCCATCCAATGCAATAAAATTGATAATAATTTGAACGACTCAGATCTCAAACATAAACTCGGGCTGTGTCCAAGCAGCTGATCTTGAAACCAGTGAGAAAAGACATGCGTTTGCTTTATAATCAAAACCTTGTTACTTACGACAAACATTCCGAATACAAATCATTTCCACTTAATATTTTGCCGGTTTGCAATCCTCCTTTTCCCAAGCATCGAGTGTGGTGCATGTGCCAATGTTTTGGCACGTCAGAATTAGTGATTGACTCAAAATGGCGGACAGTTCCCATAGCAGCAAGTGGCAGTGCAAAAAAACTGAGAAATTGATAAATCCCAACCTTTTTCAACTTTAGGGTTGTTTCAAATTTAGGGAATGAAACAAAAGGGGACATATTATGCTCAATTCACTTTTTATTTTAACTTACTGCACAGAAAACATCTTTCATCCCGCTTAAAATCTGCGTCTGGCTGCCTGAAGCCCCCTGCTGGCCGCTGGTGGCAGTGAAGTGTGTTGAAAAGACAGATTAGCAGCTTGGCTAGTGTCAAAATAATCCTTATGTTTTTCAGTGTGTCGAGTTCAATTTAAGTGTTACGATGTTGAAAGTAAGTGGTAAAAGGTGCATAGACTTTAAAAACATGTAAGAACTTGTCTTTGTGTCAATTGCTTGCGTAAAGATGAAAAATGACTTGGTTTTGGGAGGAAATCTCACCAAACACAAAGCACTTTTATAATAGCTTTCCTGCTCGTCTATTGTTGAATATAACTGAACGTATGCACAGCTCCACAGGTGAACGAGTGGAGCCCAAGTTATAGTTAAGATCCGTGGAAAGATGAGAGGGTTTTCTTTATTGTCTTTAGCCTATTTATTATCAGTAGTTTTAATTTTCCTGTTACAAATGTTTTCTGGATAACACAAGATTGATTAATTGAAGAACAATCTTAAATGTGCATTGCAAAAGTGGGGATGAGAAAAACGCAAGGAAATAAAAAAAAAAAACCATCATCCCAAGTTTACGGCCTGGTTTGAGTTAACACTGGATCTTAGGGCTGGACAATTTTACATTCAAGAAATCTTCAATTTTTCATCCGAAAATGTAACTTTTACTTTTGGGTTAGCGCCCCTTCTAGACTTTTCCCAAAAAAATACATGGGAACGGCAAGATAATTAGGATTTTTTCCAAATTGTAATGCAGTTTATTCCTTGCACTAAATAAAAATCTAGTTAGCTATTTAAAGAATTTGATATTAATAAAATATAGAATTTGTGCTTGCAAATTTGCAATTATACTGTGAGCTAATTGCTTAGGGAACTAGTAGCATTAGTCTCATTTCTCTGCTTCATTAGTCCTTAGTATTATTCTTTTAATTTTTCTGCAAACACGCTGCTGTATATGTTGCTTCTATAATTCAGCAGAGCACCGCAGACGCTACGGAAGCCCACAAGAAATGTGCTAGAGAAAGGTGAGGTGAAAAATCAAATTTTCATTATGAAAATGGCCAATATTCAAATAATTGATAAAAAAATGTTTTCTTTTCATCCAGCCCTATTGGATGTACTGTGGCTTTTAATTCCTTCAATATATTAAAATAAATTACCATACATTTCAGTTGTGAAAACCTCCACTTTATGTCATAGATTGGGTCATCATCCGGTTTAGAGATTAGTTTAGTGAGAATTAATACAGAATGTATGGTATGAGTGCCTTCGAGACAAGCAGGTCGCCATTGCATCTTTAACATGTGTGAATGGACACTACTCCAAGTTTATGTTGGTGTGGCAATACATCTCATTAAAAAGACCAAAAACACCGGCCAATTTCAGCATAATACGTCACCTCGAAACTGGGTTTGGTAATGGAGGGGGAAGGTAAAAAGAAAAAAAAAAAAAGCAGAAGTGGCACACACTCCAAACCCGTGTTTGAAAAATAAAATAAAAAATACAACGCATGCATAAGTCCACAGTCCCCGGTTTTGGGAGATGACAAACTTGGGAGAAACAAAAAACCAAAATCACAATGGGAGTTAAGACACCAACAATTTCGAATCCCAACCGCACACAGAACAAACCACGCCAGCCATGTCAAGGTGCAGCCATTCCAACGCATTATCCAAACTTTTACATGGTTAAAAAAAAGAACAAAATAACTCCACAAAAGTCTATTCCCACCGGCGTTCCACCTCCTGCTTAGATGCTGCTTATTTTTTAGTCCCGTGTCCGTGTTTGGTGCCGTTGGAGATGCCCAGTCTATCTTGGCAGCCACCTTGGCGTAAGAAAAAAAAAAAGTGGCGGCCATCTTGGTGTGGTAACAACCAAAGCTTTTTTTTTTAACTGCCTGCTCTCAACGTCCCATGTCGACACGAGGATATCGGAGTCCGAGGATTGTACCTGCGCACGGTCTGTGTCTGCAGGAGACGATGGCAAAGTGTAGTAGTTGAAAAGTGTTTTGAATCCAACGCGTGTTTTTTGTTTCTTTTTTATTTAACGTAGCCACAGTTTGAGCCGGAGCGCATCCACTCCATTCAGGTAATATCTGAACAGCCGCTTATCTCTGACAAAACCCAAGTTCTCATACAGCTTCAGCGCCGATTTGTTGGTTATTTCTGTCTCCAATACCACCTGCAAAAAAGACACACAATCTAGTTAGGAAATGCAAACGTAGAATATCTCTTTGCTAGCATACAGTACTACCTTATCTGCACAGCGACAATTTACTCAAGTGAACATATCAATGCAGACATTTTCAAAAACCTGACATAACCCAATAACGTACATTTCAAAATCTGGGGGCGTGCAGTGAGCTTTTGCACACTGCACATTCATCTGCGGCTCTGTACAAATCTGAAATCAATCTGAAACTTAACATAGAGGCCTGGAAGTATAATGACTTTGTAATTGAGGACTCTGGACAAAACTATTGGGGCTCAATGAGAAAAAATATATATAAAAAGGAAATTTCACTCCTAAAAAAGGACTGTTTGCTGTGTAGGAACCCACCATTTGTTCCAGAATTTAAAGTATGGATTTTACACTTGGAATGATAGTAAAAACATCTATAGAACAATAAGTTGAAATGGTTATTTATCTCAAGGCATTAACAAAATGCTTGTTCATTGGTGATAAGTACATTTTTCCTGGTCCATTGTCTCCTCCTTGCTGTATTCAAACCGTAGAGCTGCTGCTAGAACATCCTGAGCCCGAGCTATTTATGTCATAGTGCACCACTGTTTGTGCTGCGTTTGTGAAAGTGGAAAATGGTGAAACACACTAGAATGATAGACCGTCAGGTTACGACCCAGCAACAATAGTTATATGTGGTCATAGTAAATGCGAATAGTAAGACATGGGAATATTCAATGAACAATCTTATTTGAGCACTGCCAAGAACATTGCTAACCATGAAAAATATGATTTTAACGTTTCATCAAGTTGTATTCTATATGGCATCTATTAGCATAAGGGCCTACTATAAACAGCTAATTGAAAGAATAATTGCCCAGCTCATTGTTGATCAAAATAAAGGTCGTTTTACAGCCCTACTTTTCAACATCCTCATTTATTGTCCATATGTTACTATGTTACTTCATAAACAGTTTTTAATAAAGTCACAGCATGAACCAAGCCCAGACTTGCTGTGTTCCGACATCACGCTTTGACAAACAGGAATGAAATCCCAGATAACAGTTCACCCACAGGGGGGGGCCAAAGGAGTCCCACATGTGCGGAGGTCCTGCAACTTCACAACTGTGACCCTCACTGAAACTGATAAAATAAATAGGAATAATGAATTATTCTTCTTATTACTACGTAGACAGATCAATCCTAAACTACTGCCCCCTGTTCTGGGTCTAGAATGAAAGTTCCATAGTGCTTTTTAAAAGTGAATAACGACAGTTACTTTACAACGCAATAATAAAGCATGAACTAAGTTAACCCTTTAGACGCCAAAAAAGCTCCATGAGTTCTTGAACCCAGGACACATTCTAAACAGCCGTTCACACATTTTTATTTTATTTATTTCTGTTATTGATTTCAATAGTCCTCAATCTCTTGAAATTGCATTTAGCATTATCTGGCCTTATGTTCGATCCTGCTTTGAAGAAGAATGTGTTATTTCAAGCAGTGGCTTTCTTTAAACCTCATGTGTGAGAAATTTAGACTGTGGATGAAAAATAGACTCTTGGCAAATACTGGCATATTTATAGATTTTTATCACCTTCTTGTAATGAACCTTTAGACTTTATATTTTGAGTAGGAGTATTTTAACCTCATTCCCATTTTACAATCAGGGAAATGGTGAATATATTTTTCCTGATGTCCGGAGCACTCACCTCGTCACAGTCCCCTTCCACCATCGCATAGATCGCCTTTTTTACCAGATTAGTACCTGCGGAGACATAGTGCAGTCCTGTTACAATCTCTGATCAATAAAGCACATATGACATTTAGCACCATTTTTAAACAATAATTCTTTTTCCCTGAAGTATAAAAGCAAAAATATTGTTGCTGATTTTTATTTTATCAGTGGATACAGCCACCAACTAATTTGGTATCTGAATAATGCCCCAGAATAACTTATAACAATAAATTAAACAATCGTTATTATCATTGATAAATAAACTAAGTGTATTTTCTATACAGAGATAAATATGCTGTGTTTGAATTCAAATATAGATGTGTGTGAGTGTATATGTAGACATTCATACGATGGTATGCAAAAGTTTGGAACCCCTATTCACTCTTTTCCTTTATAAAGCACTGGTTGTTTGGATAACAAATTGCACACAGAAAGTGTATGGCAGGGGCATGGTTGAGTATATCATCATAGTAAATTGAGAATCACCTCAATGCTAAACGTAAAGCAGCTAGCATGGACATTAGCCCGAGTACCAAGACCCACATCCAAGCCACACTTCACCAGCTTTAAGGACCAGGGGAACTTAGAACCACCTGGCCTGGCTCATTGGATTGCACTCGACTCGACCACTTAAAGTGATAGAAGATAAGGGCCTGCAAAATGTATTATCTTTCTAAATATGCTATTGCTACAGTTAACTCATTAACTGCCATTGACGTATTTGTCTGAGACCCTCTATTTGACTGGGGATTAGGAAGGGTGTAGGAAGGAGCGCTACCGCAGGGCCTTTATCCCCACCGCTGTCAGACTGTACAATAAGTCACTTTAAATGATCACTGTGTGAAAACTTGCACTACTATTGACACTGTTTCCAATTGACACTTGTCACTTTTGTTGTACATAATTATTGTCACTTTATTGTACATATATCCTGCATGTAACATGTTTGCACATTTCCTCCTTTTGCACAATCTGAGTGTCTCTATCCATGCCAAATGTGACATGTACATTTCTCCTATGTGAGATAAATAAAGCACATCTTATCTTATCTCTTAGCTTATTACAGGACAATAAAAATAGCTAGAAACAAACTGATTTTTGCTGATCAAAGTAGAAAATCCAGTCTTTCAGAATCTGGTTTCATATTTCACATAGGCTTAGGAAATAATATTCTGTGGGTCTTGAGAATCAGTGAAATCATTAAAAACGGCTGGCAGTCAATGAGATAATGGCAAAAGTTCCACTGGTCTGTTGGACACAAAAAATATTTTGTTGATTAAGCGTCTGTATTCAGTCATTACTCAATGGTATACTAACAAACCCTTCTCATTTTTCTCAAGCCAAATATTGATTAACTTTTGTTATTGCTTTTTACAGTGTTTAAAAATGTTTAACATAGCAGAAATGACTTGAATTGTCTAATAACAGTAACTCTTTTGTTTATGTTTTCATTGAAGTCAGTTGGATGTTTACAGTGTATTTAAATATCAGGCGCAGTGGAAACGTTTGGGTCGTGGACTCGAGAAGTCCAGTCGTCCCCAGTGAGCACTACTGCTGTTCTCTAACATCTGACACAGCGCTTTTGAACGCTTTTGAGGCAGACTTCAGAGTATGCATAATGCACGTTTACATGCGGCAAGGCGCATGTGAGCCCAAATAATGGCCCAAGCGTATTTTTTCCCGAGCAGTGATGCGTCATCATTTATGAGACAATTTATGAAACCATTAAATCAGTTCATTTACAAAAACTTTTGAAACTACAAAAAAATCATCCATCCATCCATTTCTTCCCTTTAATTAATTTCTGGGTCGGGGAGTGGCAGTCAGAGCTGCACCCAGTAGACATAGCACCAACCCCTCACTGATGCTCCTGCAGGTGGCAAGTTACCTCTAGTATGTAAAATATTAAATGTTAAATACGACTAATTTTGTTGGAAAAACAAAATGCATTTGTGGCAAAGAACAGTTAGGTACACCAGCTTTAAGAGAAAATATGATTCGTTATTTGATTTTATTGTCTCCCATTATCTTACTATACTTTGGCATTTCAGGTTTTACAATGAGAAATCATTTTCATTCAAGGAAAACTATTGACGGAAAAACAAACCTATTTGACTGAAAAGGAACAACACTCCTATGTAGTGGAAAATTACATTCTGATTAAGATCCAAATATCTTTAAGAGAACATAGTTTAACTGACAACATTCCAAAAATGACATTTTGATGGCAGAAAAAGGCTCCGTTCATGACATAGCAGAAGCTTGAGAACCGAGATTTAGACAGAAAGACCGGCGGATCATGTTTGTGCCAGACAATCTAGACGGAGCTGAAAACAACCCAAGGTCTGTTTTTGATGAGGAATGGTGTTGAAACTTGACCCCCAGGACAGCAATGGGAAAGGATGGCGTCTTGTTGGGACCCGTGTAGGCTTCTCACGAATCAAAATCAAAATAAGAGCTTTGTAAGAGCTTCCATCTTGATACAGTTTGTTTAACGCTGTTATTGTGTATTAAGTATTGCTCCTCATATGACTTTTGCGTAGTTTCATAACCTTCTTCATCTGACCCTCATAGGTTTGGTTTTATTGCCGTCTAAATTACCAATACGTTTGGTTGGTTAGAAAGGCTAGGTCGCAAGGCGGGTTGAGTGCCTACTTGTTATAACATGCCAGTCCGTGTTGCTCAGTGTGTAAGGAAAAGGCGAGTTGGTTGAAATTCCAGTGTCTATATTTAAAAACTCAAAACAATTGTGCATTACATCTGTCCATAAAGTAATTGGCTTTAGGGTTAATACGTAATAACATACAGTAATATATACAATATAACATACAAGCTTAAAGTATCAATATGTAATATTTTCATGTCAAGTCATCCTTAAATGGCCCTCATATGTCAAAAGATATTAATAAACAATGCTATTTTCGAATACTTGTCCCGCCCTCCATTGGTTTATCAATCAGAAAGTCTGTGATCCTGTTTGCCAGAACTCACAGCGTCGAGCTAATCTCACTGGTAAAGTAACATGTGGCCACAGAACTAAAAAAGGTCTCGTTATGATTCTCAGATTGTTATCGGGGACTTCATGAATAAGGTGTGGGTTATATATTTTACAAACTCTTGTCTATTCAGATATAATGTTCCCAGCTGGATCCTTCTGCGTATCTGGCAACCTGAGTCAGGGAGTGGGAGAGGTTGTTGCAGTACCACTTTTGGCCAGATTTGTAGATACAGTTCCTTTAATAATCATCTTACTGGCTTAATCAAATGTGATCTTTGATTTAAATGCATAAACTCCGTCCATCCGTTTTCTTCCGCTTCATCCGTTGCCGGGTCGCGGGGGCAGCAGTCTAAGCAGAGACGCCCAGACTTCCCTATCCACACACACTTCCTCCAGCTCGTCCGGGGGGACCCCAACGCGTTCCCAGGCCAGCTGAGAGACATAGTCCCTCCAGCGTGTCCTGGGTCTTCCCCGGGGCCTCCTCCCGGTGGGACGTGCCCGGAACACCTCCCCAGGGAGGCGTCCAGGAGGCATCCAGAACAGATGCCCGAGCCACCTCAACTGGTTCCTCTCGACGTGGAGTAGCAGAGGCTCTACTCCGAGCTCCTCCCGTGTGACTGAGCTCCTCACCCTATCTCTAAGGGAGCGCCCAGCCACTCTGCGGAGGAAGCTCATTTCGACCGCTTGTATCCGCGATCTCGTTCTTTCGGTCATTACCCAAAGTTCATGAGCATAGGTGAGGGAGGGAACGAAGATTGACCGGTAAATTGAGAGCTTTGCCTTTCGGCTCAGCTCCCTCTTTACCACAACGGTCCGATACAGCGACCGCATCACTGCGCACGCTGCACCGATCCGCCTGTCAATCTCACGCTCCATCCTTCCCTCACTCGTGAACAAGACCCCGAGATACTTGAACTCCTCCACTTGAGGCAGGACCTCTCCACCCACCTGGAGAGGGCAAGGCACCTTTTTCCGGTCGAGCACCATGGCCTCGGATTTGGAGGTGCTGATTCTCATCCCAGCCGCTTCACACTCGGCTGCAAACCGTCCCAGTGCATGTTGTAGGTCCTGGTTCGTTGGAGCCAACAGGACAACATCGTCCGCAAACAGCAGAGATGAAATCCTGTGGTCCCCGAACCGGACCCCCTCCGGCCCCTGGATGCGCCTAGAAATTCTGTCCATGAATACAGTGAACAGAACCGGTGACAAAGGGCAGCCCTGGCGGAGGCCAACATTCACCGGGAACAGGTCTGACTTACTGCCGGCAATGCGAACACAGCTCTGGCTCCGGTCATACAGGGACCGAACGGCCCTCAGCAGAGGACCCCGGACCCCGTACTCCCTGAGAACCCCCCAAAGAACACCCCGGGGAACACGGTCGAACGCCTTCTCCAAATCCACAAAGCACATGTGGACAGGTTGGGCGAACTCCCATGAACCCTCGAGTATCCGATGGAGAGTATAGAGCTGGTCCAGTGTTCCGCGGCCGGGACGAAAACCACACTGCTCCTCCTGAATCCGAGATTCGACCATCGGCCGTAGCCTCCTCTCCAGTACCTTGGAGTAGACCTTACCGGGGAGGCTGAGGAGTGTGATCCCACGATAATTGGAACACACCCTCTGGTCCCCCTTCTTGTAGAGAGGGACCACCACCCCGGTCTGCCACTCCATTGGCACCGCCCCCGATCGCCACGCGATGCTGCAGATGATGCATAAACTTACCAATGCTTTTCCTCCTGTGTTTGGAGTCCACAGCTAGCATTGCAATGTATCCGCGGCGAAACATCTTTTTATGCATGTCCAGTTTACAGACAATGGCTCCGACACACTCCTGCTCCACCATTGCCTGGAAAAGTAGAATGAGTGAGGGAGGGACCACAGGCAGCTCAGATAGGAACACACACAACAGACATAATTCAATAACAAACCGGATTAAATTTTACTTTGAGATTTGTGAAGTGTCCATCTCAAAAACACGGTAAAGTGCAAATGACAAGTTGCTGTTTTGAGGTTATGATATAAACATATTAATTATCAGGACATTTTAAGAACCTTCAGCCAATATATTTAAATCTTAGCTCGTTTAAAAATGAATTTAAATACAGGTGAAACTCTAGAAACTTACTTCTGTAATTCAACCTAAAACTAATAATACATGATAGACTCACACTCTAAAGAGATATATCAAGCCTTTATTGGTTATAATATTGATAATTGCCTCACAGCTTGTAAAAAACTCAAAATCAAATTATCTCTATGGCTCTAATATCAAAATTTGAATATTTTTGATAAATTACAGAAATAGATGTACTAGGATATAGGATAATATAAGATAGTTTATTGATCTCAGAATGGAGAAATTTACATTTGGCATGGATAAAATTACTCAGGTTGTGCAAAAAGACAAGAAATGTCTCTCGTGCAAGATAAGCAAATATGTACGAGTTTCACCTGTATGTAGTAAGGGAACCATCTGTTAAAAGAAGCTATACCCACTTTTTTCTCTAAAGAGTTCATAAAAATGCTTATTACTACATACAAGTTGTATTATAATCCATAATCTAATTGAAAACTTAAGCTCATTGATTCAGCTTGTGTATGAATTCAGGCCGTAACAAATGCTGAGTAGAGGCTTGGCGTGACGCCCGCTCTCTTCCACTCACAGAACGAGGCTGAGTCCTCTAGCCTCTACAGCGCTGGTAAACACTAGGACTTTGACTTCGAAATTCGATATTCAAATATAATTCGAAAATTAAAAAATATATATATATATTCGAACAAATATTAGACAGCCCTTAATAGTTTAAATGTATTTAATGACTGCAAATAGAATAGTTAGCTCCTAAAGGTTTTGCCGTGACGTGCTAGGCAGGTAACAGCTAAGCTAGCTAGTTGAAAAACTTTCTGGAACTACATGAAAACTGAACAAAGAATTCTGAACATCAGCGGTGAGTTACCCATTTATATACCGAACCTAAATCTATTATCAGATCCTCTTCAAATGTGTCCTAAAAGGTTTGTTTCATGTTAATGGTTATTTCCGGGTTTATCGCGATCGCTTTGTCACATTAAAACAGTATTTTTGTCATGAAAACGTTAACAGATAATTCTGAAAACCTCCGTGCATGTATTGAGAACAGCTTTATTTTCAGAGGTCTAAACTGCAAGGTTAGCACCTTTAAGGCATAAGACAAAGACTTAAGGCCCTTGCTTCCATTACTTCACAATGATTGGCTAAAAGCAAACTCATTCTGGGTGGTGGCTGTAACTAATAACACTTGTTCTAGGAAGGACAACACCCAATCAGGAGCCAAGCAGGTCTGTTTGCTGCTCTGCCTGACCTGATTGGTTCTTAGGGACGTATCTGCAGAAGAGGTCTCAACTCTGGTGATTTTAGTATTTTAAATAATTATGACATATTTGTTCTTTATAATGTTTCAACCTACAATGCAAATAATTTGTTTGATGCAAATATACTTTCTTTGGGGCAAACAATATAGCAATATATCAGGCACAGTCCTTGACACCAAGATTGCACATTGCTCTTGTTTTGAATATCGTGCAGCCATAGTTCAAACCTTTCTTCATAGTAAAATTAACCAACATTTCCAAAAAGAATATAGTCTCACCCATTTGCCATTTATCAAGGAGATCACAAGATTGTATCTTGAGAATCACAGGAGGCAGAAACACCAGGGAGAACATGCAAACTCCCACTTCTGACATTAAACCTATGCGGCAAGAGTGCAGACCACATTGCGATTGAGGTCCAAGTGAATGTTTGTAAACTGGCATCCATGAGTGCGTGTAGAATAAGTGTGAGAGTGATGAAACCCTGACCAGCTCTGTGGCTATGACCTCTGACCTTCAAGGCTGGCAACTGTCAGTATCACGTGGTTCACACAAAACAGGAAGTGTCATTGAGTTCAACCTTTTTCAGTTCTATAGGAATAAACATGGAAACCCTATGGATGACTGGGCAAAAAGCTCTCCAATACAGACGTTTAAATTCGCCCCACCTTTGGAAATGAAGTCAAAATCTGCTGTAACACGAGCGGCTGACATGTGGATAATCACAGATCTCAGACATGATGGTTCTTTACAGGTGACAGCTGTCGTGTACTCACCAGAAAGCAGAGCTGAGGCCAGTTGTGAATGAAGTACCTGTACGTGTAAATTGAGTAAGGCTCAGATAAGTCTTTCGTGATGAGCCGCATGATCCACGGCATCTGCAGCTCCGACTCGTAGCGCACATAGCGGATGCCGTGGTCCTGGTCCTGGTCCGAGGAAGCAAGCTGCAGACGGGACAGCTCTGCGGCCGGGGGCTCCTCTGGGCTGGGCTCTTGTGGCAGGGGGTGCTTTGGGCTCGGCTCTGGGGGCTCCTCAGTTCTAGTAAAAGCCGGCATGCCGTTAATGCTGTTGTTCAGGGCAGGACTTTTGGATAAAGAGCTCTGGCCTTCATGCTCGCTGGTCCTGATGGCCGTGTAGCACCCGGAGGAGCAGTTGTCTCCGTTGTCAGTGGTTCTGGGACTGTCATGCGTACTGTCCAGATGCTGGGGCTCCGTGTCCTCCGTGGGAGTGGACAGTCCGTTCAGCTGCGGATCTCTTTGCATTGAAAGGTGCAGTGCGGGGCTAGCTCGGGCTAGCATACTGCTCTGCTTCTTCTTGACAGACTTGTTGACGTCGGTGACGCTCGGTGGCCTGTTTACTGTGGAAATTCCACAGTCTTGGATGTAAACGGCCGACTCTCCGTCCTCTCTGCCTGCCTCACAATCCTCAGCGGCGGGGAAAGGGGCCGCTGGAGCCGGGGATGGAGGCACAGTACTAGGCCCAGGCGGCACTGTGGCCATCCCGCCACATTAAGCCCGAGATACAAGCTGCAAACCGCGGCCGCGGGCTGTCATGCACTGTGCCGCGGGACAGACGAGCCCAACACGTGCTTTTGGACCGAGTAGTGTACAGATCCACGGATCTGAAGCGAGACCGCGTCCTGGCGCTACTGCTGCTGCTTTCTCCTCGATCTCCCCGCTGCCGTAAAATGCTGTCGTAAACATCGCCATTGCAACAGCAGATACATTTTACGACAATTCGTAAAGTGTGATTCAGCTGTCATTTTGTCATTCATTTATTTCAGGTCCTTGTTTTACATATATAATTCTATTATGTGATATACGCAGGTACAGCAGACAATAACAATATCGAACTATCAAAATAAAAAATCAATATCACCGTGAAAGTGTGTCAAACAACTGCGAGCTTCTCCACAAACATGACTTGTCATGTTTGTGACCTAAAGCTGACCTAAAGCTGTCATAAAATCCATGTCTCTAGTTTTCACATGTGTTTCTGGCCTCTCATTTCTTCAGATAAGAAAAGTGAAAGATAGAGGACAAGTAGAGGGTGGTGATGGAGCTTAAATAGTATGTAGTATTATTATTATGACCTTTTATCAGGCAGTTTCAAACGTTTGCCTTACCCTTATGTCGCCACTGCCTGGTTTGGAAGTAGTTGGTGTTGGTCCACTGCACCAGGCTTCATTCCCTAAAATAATGTAATTAATAAATCATAAAGAGTCAACATGCAGAGCGTGACTGAATAACCATAAACAACACACCAAAGAGTGCCACTTCAGTTCTGTTTCAGGTAGCGTTATAGTTTCAGGGCATGAAAGGACATGGCTTGGCTGGACATACAGCACATTTAACTAGTTAGCGTTAGCAACCTAGCTTCAACTATAAGACAAAACACACAACACCTCTGTGCTTTTTACTTTATACTGTGGCTTAAAAATGCTATATTTATAGTCTATGCTTAAAAAAACACAAACAGCAATGAGTTTGGTTCTTTCTGCAGTCTCAGATCCGCCATCAGCTTGAGTCAAGGCTACGACTACAGTAGGCACTGTAAGGAGGAAGGCGGCCACAAACATGTTATAATAGCGTTTTTATGTAGATATTTTATTATATATGTTATATATGTTCACGTTTATATGTAACAAAAAAGAATCGTATTAATAGATATAACATATAGCGCGCAGTAACGTAAACGTCACGCGCCCTTACGTCTGGTATAAAAAGCGAGCATCAGTTCAAACTTTCTCTTTCTGCCTCGTCTAACGTTGAATGTGTGTCAAACCGCGGAGAATTCAACCTAACCAAAACTATGGTAAGTCTTTGAGTCTTATGTATTGTAAGCTTTGATAACGTTTCTCGTGTTGCTTGTAATTCTATTTTAATCAATGCCCGACGTAGATTGTGATCTTGAAAGTTTGATTAGGTAGTTTCCCGCTTTTTTTTATTTCAAAGTATTGTATGAGTGTACGACTGTAAACGGGTTTAACAGTAATTACACAATGATAACCCTATACTACATAACGACGGGACGTGTTATAACCGTTTGTAAAAGATTCATGTGTGACATTAGTGCTAACGTCCACTCCACACTCTGCCGTTAGTACCATTTCAACTGATTTCAACCGAATATAATGCGTGTTTGCCTGGTAACCAGGGCAACCACCGGATCCAACTATATAAACTATTGCGGGGGAAATAAGACAGACACACACTTTATTTATCTTAGTAAAGTACTTTAGTAACCTTTACTCACTTTTAATGTGTGCTAAAACTGGTGAATGTGACTGAAATACAGCAAAAACATTGTTAATATAAGATATACTTTATTGATCTCACAATGGAGAAATTTACAATGATGTTCAATGTATACCAGATGTTAACTGTGGTAACTAGTACTGGCTCTGATGGAAAACTGAAGCCGCTCAGAACCAGGATCAGTCCAGGACGAACACCTGGAGAAATTGACATTAACTGCCTCAGAAAGTTGGTTCATCTTACCAGGGGCATTTCATCTGAGTAGCCCAGGGCATAAAAGTAAACATAAACATAATAATGTCTGTGTGTGTGTGTGTGTGTCCAGCGTGAGTGTATCTCAGTACACGTGGGCCAGGCCGGTGTGCAGATCGGCAACGCCTGCTGGGAGCTGTTTTGTTTGGAACATGGCATTCAGCCTGACGGACAGATGCCCAGCGATAAGACTGTGGGAGGAGGAGACGACTCCTTTAACACCTTCTTCAGTGAAACGGGAGCCGGGAAACACGTCCCCAGAGCCGTGTTTGTGGATCTGGAGCCCACCGTCATCGGTGAGAGTTTATCCACCTGTTCAGATTCTTAGCACAAGAACCTACTGTCACTGTTCCATTCTGTTAAAACTGTAAAAACTGACTTTAGACGAGGTGCGAACAGGAACCTACCGCCAGCTGTTCCACCCGGAGCAGCTCATCACCGGGAAGGAGGACGCTGCTAATAACTACGCTCGCGGTCACTACACCATTGGGAAAGAGATCATCGATGTTGTCCTGGACCGCATCAGGAAACTGGTGAGATCAGGAAACTGATCCTCTCTGGTGAGAGGATCAGGAGCTGGAGTATTCTGATGAGTCATGTTAGAGCAGGGGTCTCCCAACCTGTAGCTCAGGAGCTATCATAGCTCGTCACCCCCTTCCAGGTAGCTCGCCAAAGGATTTAGAAATGAATAAAACCAAATAACATACTTCATCAGTCAGATTGTATAATTCACTTATTTATTATCGCAAATGCACTTACATTGTGCACTGGTAACAAATATGTGATGATATGGGTGAAAAAGGTTAGAGACATCTGTGTTAGAGGATCAGGAGCTGGAGTATTCTGATGAGTCAACTTTGATGTATTTGTGTCCTCAGTCGGAGCAGTGCACTGGGCTGCAGGGCTTCCTGGTGTTCCACAGTTTCGGTGGAGGTACTGGCTCAGGATTCACCTCGCTGCTGATGGAGCGTCTGTCTGTGGACTTTGGGAAGAAGTCAAAGTTAGAGTTCTCCATCTACCCGGCGCCACAGGTGTCCACTGCGGTGGTGGAGCCGTACAACGCCATCCTGACCACGCACACCACTCTGGAGCACTCGGACTGCGCCTTCATGGTGGACAACGAGGCGGTGTACGACATCTGCCGGCGCAACCTGGACATCGAGCGCCCCACCTACACCAACCTGAACCGTCTGATGAGCCAGATAGTGTCCTCCATCACCGCCTCCCTGCGCTTCGACGGCGCCCTGAACGTGGACCTCACAGAGTTCCAGACTAACCTGGTGCCTTATCCTCGCATCCACTTCCCACTGGCAACCTATGCTCCGGTCATCTCAGCGGAGAAGGCTTTCCACGAGCAACTGACCGTGGCAGAGATTACCAGCGCCTGTTTCGAACCAGCCAATCAGATGGTAAAGTGCGACCCTCGCCACGGCAAGTACATGGCGTGTTGCTTGCTGTACCGCGGGGACGTGGTTCCCAAAGACGTCAACTCTGCCATTGCCTCCATCAAGAACAAACGCACTGTGCAGTTTGTGGACTGGTGTCCCACCGGCTTCAAGGTGGGCATCAACTACCAGCCGCCCACTGTGGTCCCAGGAGGAGACCTGGCCAAGGTCCAGAGAGCCGTCTGCATGATGAGCAACACCACCGCCATCGCCGAGGCCTGGGCTCGACTCGACCACAAGTTTGACCTGATGTACGCTAAGAGAGCCTTCGTCCACTGGTATGTGGGGGAGGGCATGGAGGAGGGGGAGTTCTCTGAGGCCAGGGAGGACATGGCAGCCCTGGAGAAGGACTATGAGGAGGTGGGCGCTGACTCTGTGGAGGGGGAGGAGGAGGGAGAGGAGTACTGAGGAGAGAGAGGGGGGGGAAGGGAGAGGAGTACTGAGGGAAGGGAGAAACACTGAATTTTATCCTCATGGTTTGTTCCCCATGACATTCAGTTCTTCACTGTTCACTGTTATAACCTGTTCAGCTGTACGTTTCATTTAAATAAACAACTTTTCACCAACGTCTTGTTTGGAGTTAGCAGTGGGAAAAAAACATTTTTGCAGAAACATTATCTCTCACAAATACGTGAGACAAAAGTTTTCTCTTGAATTCAGTTACATTTTGCATTTGAACCTTTATTTCAGGATTGCTCTCATATCTGTTTTCATTAGAACTATTTTCGGTCTCTAGTTATAGATCACACTGGTGACACAGCGCCCTCTAGCTGCGACTCTTAGGAAGAGACGCCATGAAGCGCAAGAACCTGGACTTTACTTGATGTTGAGCTGTATTTAAAACAGCTGAATGTTCATGACCCGCTAATACGTTTTACTTAGTCCTCTGCATTTGACCCATTATTCTATTTGTCAAGAGCAGTGGTCGTCGTAGTAACAGCGCAGGACCCATCTCCACAAGTCAATGCTCTTGATCAGGATCAGAGATGAGGATTTCACTGCGGACATGTTTAGAGGTAGGGGAAACCAGAGGACGAGAACATGCAAAGTTCACTCCGAAAGGCCCTGTTCCAACCGGGATTCAAACCCAAGACCTTGTTGCTAGGATAAAGTGTGCTCATCGCTACGTTGAAATCAGACATAGAGCTAGTGAAGTCAATGTTTTCCACCATTTAATATAGACATTTTCTGTACATTTCAACAGTTGTTTCTATGTGGTACAATCTTTAAAAACTCATATTTCAAAAACAAAACTTAAAATGCGTCAAAACTAAAGCTGTCATAAAATCCATGTCTCTAGTTTTCACATGTGTTTCTGGCCTCTCATTTCTTCAGATAAGAAAAGTGAAAGATAGAGGACAAGTATAGGGTGGTGATGGAGCTTAAATAGTATGTAGTATTATTATTATGACTTTTATCAGGCAGTTTCAAACGTTTGCCTTACCCTTATGTCGCCACTGCCTGGTTTGGAAGTAGTTGGTGTTGGTCCACTGCACCAGGCTTCATTCCCTAAAATAATGTAATTAATAAATCATTAACAGTCAA